TTCATGCATTTGCTCATGTCTGTCAGTAATTTGGTATTGATTGAGGAGATGAACAACTCACCATGAGAATCCAGAACTTAAAAGAACTTCAGTCATCCCTAGAAACAGTAATCATGAGAGAATCAGCAGGACCTGACCTGGTCTTAAGTGGTTTCAGAAGGAAAGGTCTAAGACAATGGAGGCTTTATAAGGACCAGTTCATGGGAGCTCACTTTCTTCATAAGCTGGAAGAGAATAAAAAAGTGACAAAGTTTTTCCTACACATAGTTATGAAGCAAACAGTGGGAATGAGGAGCAAATAATAAGAGGTGGATATTCTACCAAAAAGTAGATTTAGTCATAGAAGCTCTTTCTAATAAGAATCACTATCCCTGTCACATTAAAGGTGTCAACAAAGTAACTGGAAGTTTAGAGTTCAGGTCTGCACCCATGATATTCAGAGGAAAAAGTGGTCCATTAGAAGTTTCACTGCACTTCCAGATTAAAGAATCTCCATACTTATCCATGTAGACTTTTTTTTAAACACTTACTATGCTGTAAAGGTGGATGAAAGGACTTTTAATCACAAAGAATGAAAAAAGAACTTTATTATGTCCTTATTCTTGTAAGAAAAGCATTTGATTTTGTGGTAGTAACAGACTGCATTTCATGGAGAAGGAAGTGGCGAAAGTGCCTAGAGTAATAAAATCAGAGCCATAGGAAATGTTGCAGAGAGTCAAATGACGTTCTGGAAAATGAAAGAAGACAAAGTTCCTGTGTGTCTGCCTTTCTCTCTTATTTCCCCCAGCCTTTCAGCTCCCTTGGTCTCTCTCCTACAGGAAGTCATTTCCCTGAGTGTTAGGCAGTCTCCCATCCGCTCCTGCAGCAGACACATACAAACCAGGAGCTCTGCTCACCCTCTGACACCTCGCACTGCTGAAGCAGAGAAAGGAGGGAGTTGAGGTGAGCCATGCAGCCCAGAGATTGACTGGGGAGGAGGAAGGCTAGGATCAATTGCACCAAAGGTGCATTTGCTGAGCCTGCCCCACTTTAGGGATGGGTATTTAAGGGCAACTGTTGCTATGAGGGGGATGTAGCTCCATACTCCTATGGAGATGGAGTTTCTTGGTACAAGCAGTTGGACCTCAAGGCAATGCCCACTGACGGCTGTGGCTGGATAGATGGGCAGTGTCTGTATCTCAGACACCCTTTCATCATACTTTTTTAGTGTTGATGCAGTGAGACTTTGGCTGCCCTGGGCAACTGTGTATTATTTCTGTGCCTAAATCTGGTCCTGGGAAGTGCTGTCAGCTTCCAGCCTTTGAGTCATTCCAATTACACATCTTGCAATGGGTGGACGAGTACAAACACATCTGTCCAGCGCTGGGTCCTCTTTCTCCAGTTGAACTGTTGGCTACTTGTGCATCCCAGGCAAAGCCCCATACTCCCACTCCAAAGATCTCCTAAGCCTGTACAGCAGGAAGTAGAGGAGCAGTGTGCTCTCTGGTGCTCTCTCAGATTGTGCACCTCTGTAACATAATGAGGAAGTCTGGGTTTTGAGGTTTTAGGTTTTGGGTACTTTTTGTTTTTAAACTGGAATATACTGCAGCAGAACAATCCAAACAGACCACAAGAACAGTGATGTTACCACAGACAAAGGAACTGTTCTACCCAGGGGATTTCTTTGCTTGCCTATATTTAGGGCAAGTCCTCACCTGAAGCTTTAAAAAATGTAAACAATTTAAAAAATTAAAAAATACCTAAGCAAAGTCTGTACTACTGATGATGCTACCCAAGTCTGTTATGTTTTAGAGGCCAGAAAACCAGTGTTGAGTGGTCTCACTATGACCCAGGAGCTGGAAGAGAAATGAGAAGAAGAGCAAAAGAAAAAAGAAGAGAGAGAGAGAAGAGAAAGCTGGGCAGAGACACTAGGGCTGTTTACAAACTTTTGGCTCTACAAGGAGTAGAGTCACTGCAGGAACAGGATTAAAACCAACCTTAAAAGTCCCAAATGCTTGAAGAATAATTTATTGCTCCAACAAAAATAAGAGTGCTCAGAAGAACTGTCTGGGCATTTTGCTATACCGGTGCGTTAAAACTTTGAAGAAGACCCTCTCTTTGGTCCTTGCAGCAAGAACTTCTAGTTTTTAGCAAATGTTTTTTCTCCAAAAAACATAAAAGCATAGAAAAAAATTGGTTTCAAATGTGGCATCTTGGAGGTAATCTGGTCTAGTGGAATTTTATCACCCTGAGAGAACTTTATCTACCATGAGAGGATTTCAACCACCAGAGATGTTTTTAACCATTCTGAGCCCTGCTGGAAGGGCAAAATGGCAGGGTACAAGAAAGCCAGGAGAATTATAGAGATTGCCAGGAACAATATTATGATACAGATGCTGGATGAGATGACTGCAGCTGGTACGTATCCAGATCTGCAACTCATCAAAGAAGAACTGTCATGGATGTGACAGTCATTGTCAGTCTTGACTGCAAGGATCATGATGTAGTGGACTTTAAGATCCTTAGAGAAAAGAGGAAGGCAAATAACATGGTAAATATGTTGGATGTTATGAGAGCAGACTTCAGCTTGCTCAGGGTGGAATAGGATCTGAGATCTAGTACTTTGCTCATCTTTCAGCTCTTAACTGAGACGCTGGCAGTAATTCAGAGATTTCCACAGTGGATGTGCTGTTCTAATATCAGCAGCTTGGATTTAGCCTTCAGCACATCCTTCCTGTTCTCTCCCGTGTCTTGGATACCATGACGCATACCACAGCTCAGGCCTTGCAGTCACAGGTAACCTCTTGAAACAGCTCGTGACATCTTCCACCTTTGCTCTGGCATACAGTGCCAGAGGTGTCCTCATGCACCTCACAGACCCAGGCCTCTGACCCTCTGCCACCAATTGCTTCCTTCAGGCCTTGTGGACCTGGCTGAAGGGCAGAGCTCAAAGGGTTGTAGTGAATGGGGCTACATGTGGCTGGCAACTGGTCATTAGCACCAGTCACCAGTGGCATTCCTCAGGGTTCAATTCTAGGGCCAGTTCTGTTCAATATATTTATCAACGATCTGGATGCAGCAGTTGAATGCACCATTAACAAGTTTGCTGATGATACAAAACTAGGAGGTGCTGTTGACTCTCTTGAGAGACAAGATGCCTTGCAGAGGGATCTAGATAGATGGGAACATTGGACTATGATTAATGGGATGAAATTTAACAAGTCAAAGTGCCATATTCTGCACATGGGATGAGTAATGTCAGGCACAAATATAAAGTAGGAGAGGAGTGGCTGGAGAGCAGCCCTGCAGAAAAGGGATCTGGGTGTGCTGATCAGCAGCAGGCACAATGTGAATCAGTGCTGTGCCCTGGTAACCAAAAAAGCAAACCACATCCTGAGCTGTATCTGACACAGACAAAGCAGCCCATCAAATTTATCCTGCTGTATTCAACACTGTTGCGGCCTCCCCTTGAGTGCTGTGTGCAGTTCTGGACCCCATGATTTAAGAAGGATGTGAAGGTCCTTGAATGCAACCAGAGGAGGGCAACAGAGTTGTTGAAAGGACCGGAAGGCATGTCCTACAAGGAGTGTCTGAGGTCTCTGGGTTTGTCTAGTTTGGAGAAAAGGAGGCTGAGGGGCAGCTTCTTTGCTCTCTACAGCTTCCTGAGGAGTGGACATGGAGCTGGAGGTTCTGGTCTCTTCTCCCCAGGATCCAGTGATAGGACATATTGGAATGGTTCAAAGCTGCACCAGGGGAGGTTTAGACTGGCTATTAGGAGGCATTTATTTACCGAGAGGGTGATCAAACACTGGAACAGGCTTCCTAGAGAGGTGGTTGATGCCCTAAGCCTGTCAGTGTTTAAGAGGCATTTGGACACTGACTTTTATAACATGCTTTAATTATTGATCAGCACTGAATAGGTCAGGCAGTTGGATGAGGTGCCTTTCAACTGAAATATATATTATAATATTGCATTCCTTTCCATTTTACTTGTCCTGATTTTTGGCTGAGAGAGAGCTAGTTTTCTTCTTAGTAGCTAAAAAAGTGCTGTGTTTTGGTTTCAGTATGGGATTTGTTATGAAAAGAATGTTGATAACCTATGAATGTTTTTAACTGTTGCTGAAAGATGAAAGACTTTCAAACCTCCCTGTGTTTTGATAGTCTGCAGATGCAAAGGACTAGGGAGAAAAAATTAAAATTAACAAATGCCAGTTGGCATTTGGATATGTCAATGGGATATTCCATATCATGTAATGCCAAGTTCAGTATATTAATCAGAGTCTCTTGGGCTCTCTCACTCACTCTCACTCAGGCTCTTGCTCTTCCGGGATTGCGGTTTCAGGATTGCCACTCCTCTGGGATGGTTATCCAGGAATGGACCAATATTTTAAGCTATTTTTTCATCTACTGCAGACATGAAGTGATGGAAAGTGCAAGGAAATTTTTGGTTGTGCAGCAACATCTGAGGCACGCTGGTGGATGTATGTAGCAGTGTAGTTTGAAGACAACAAATAGACTTATGATAAAATTGTTTCCTGAACTCTTTAACAATACTTATTTTGTATGAGCAAATGATCATTTTTAAAAGCTTTAATCTTGGACAGTTTTAAGTACGTTTTCATATAGATGACAAATTTTTATTCCTGATCAGAATCTTAAATTTCCAAGGCACTAGAGATGCTGAATAAACCCCGTAAGTTTGTCTGTTTTTATTTTATTCTTTTGCATATTTTTGAAAAGCAGTATAATCACTTTCAAAGTACTACCAAAATATTTTTGCTGAAACTTTGCAAGAATACTCATCATAAGAAAAGAAACAGAAACAGTTCAAACAACTTAATTTACAGAAAATGGAATCAAATACAAAGAGGCTTTTAAAGACAAGCTTTTGGGGAATTGTCTCTGCAGGCAACACTATTCTCTCTGCTTGCAGAGGGAGAGAATATGAAAAACCTGTAAGTATTGCCAGCAAGATATATAAGTTTGAAAAAATTCAAGTTGCTGGTTTCACTTGCACACCACTATGGCACTTCTTCAAGAATTGTTATTTCTTCAGTTTCATTCTTTATTAATTGATTCTTATATTCTGTCTATTAAATGAAGAATAAAACATTTAGTTAGTGTTTCATGGATGAAATTAGGCATACATTTACAATGTATGTATCTCCTGTCATTCAGAGAATTGTTATTTGTTTTACAGAAGCTGTAGTGGGACTGTGTCAATGAGAGGACTGAAGTAGACGTGTCTACGTCTTTCCTCCATGATGAGCTCCCCAAAGGGGATCAAAAGACTTTTGAACTCAAAAGTCAGAAATCTCTTCTTTTTAAATATGGAAAAGTTAACATGATGAAGGAACAGCAAGTAAAAGCATTTCTAAAGGCTCACCAGTGATCCAGTGTGTCCTTGCAGACACATTCTTTCTTCTAGACCTGACTGTAGTCAACTTAAAGACTTTGCAAATCGCAAATTACAAATTGCAGCAAACTTTGCAACATGCTCCCTGAATGGCCAGTTCCCCTCTGTTACTTTCCATGTTTTACTGTCTGTTCCTTCTTCTTTTCATGAGTCTCTCCAGCTCTCCACATAAGCTAGAACCTCTCAGCTATCTGCTATATTTTCTTGCTTACCATACCCTGGAAACTTTTCCTCCTTCAGCATCATTGTCAAATACTAACATGAGTCTCAACATCTGGTATGGCACAACTATTTTTGGCCATCCGTAGATCTCTTTGTCCATTCTCTCCCCATAGCTGACAAAGAGTCTCTTTCTGCATTATTATTGTACAGAGAATCTTAGGCTCAGCACTATTCTAGTGATAGCATATGGCTTATAGGGAGAGCAGGGTGAAATTGTGTGTTTTCTCCAATGTTCCAGGTAGATGGATAACAATTGTTTTAGAATGGAAAAGGAAAAACAGAAGAATGGACCTTCTCTTTCAATACCCCAAGAGCAAGAAAAAGGAAGAGAATTTATGCTTGCCTCTGCTTGCTTCTCAAAGGTCATACCTTTGAGACTGCAATGGATCCTTATTTACAACAAATTTCAGGCAAATAGAAAGAAAACATACCTGGAAATCCATTGGAGAGAGCTCATGGAATGGGTCTCTTGGCTGTGGTACTGTAGCAGAGGTTTTTTTCAAATAAATGATTCTATAGTGACAAAAAGGGTTGGTGAAGAAAAGACTTAGTATGCAAGTATATGAGATCATACTATATAATAATGCTCCTGAAGTATTTTATTCCTCTAAGACAAAAGTTGTAAGAGTAGCTAAAATTTACATAGGCTGAATACAATGATATCATTTAATTGTTCAGAATTTGCATGATAATTTGGTTTATGACTTATTAATGAATCACAGGAAGTTGTTTTTTAAAGTATCTGAAAGGGAAATATCCTCCAAACAAAGACACAATTTAGTGTGCCACCCATCTACAAGGTCTAATGGCAGGAAAGTGTCAATGATACAAGGCCTTGTCCCATTATTGGAAAGCATTATGTTATATTGATCAAACAGATAAGAAGGTTGGGAATCAGAAGTACAGAGCCCACGTGAGGAACGTTTAGCAGGTCAGGATTCTTGTTATAGTTTAGTGTCGATTTTCCCCCTCCCTCCTCTCCTTTAGAAGGAGGCCAGAATTTTTCTTTTGAGTAAAGATTTGTTATTTCAACAACAGAATAAAAATTTTGCACAAAAAATAAGGCTTACATTACGCAGAGAAAAAGTATAAGACTTGCTGCCAGCACTGATATCAGAAATAATATGTATGATGAAGTAGATGAAAGTTGTTCTTCTCCTGAAAGACAAGCAATCATCAGTCTTGATCAGTATCACAGAACAGGAATGGCTACACAGCTATATGCAATCTGCTTTGCGTGATAGTGTCAAGCACAGGTATGAAGTGGCTTCTTCTTTAGCTTAGTACCTCATTGCTCTGTAACATGTGAAGGAATGGGATAGCTGACAATATGTGGATTGTCTATAGTAACACGAGACATTACCAAGCATTTTTATACAAGCATTTTGGTTGAAAAAGACCTTTAAGATCATCGAGTCCAACTGTAAACCTAATACTTCCAAGTCCACCACTAAACCATGTCCCTAAGCACCACATTTACACTTCTTTTAAATCCCTCCGGGGATGTTGACTCAACCACTTCCCTGGGCAGCCTGTTCCAATGCTTGTCAACCCTTTTGATGATTAATTTTTTTCTAATATCCTATCTAAACCTCCCCTGGCACAACTTGAGGCCATTCCCTCTTGTCCTGTCCCCTGCCACTTGGGAGAAGAGATTGACACTCATCTTGCTACACCCTCCTTTCAGGTCCCTCAGCTGCTCTTCATAAGACATGTGCTCTAGACCCTTCACCAGCTTTTGTAAGGAACTTTTGAAAGGAACTGAGGCCTACAGAGTGCTTCAAAATCCCAGGTGGCAGAGAGTAAGAGGGGAAAAGATAAATTTGTAAAGCCAGAAGCAGAAATGGAAGAAGGAAAAAAGCTGGCAGCAGACCTCAAAAAAGTCTGCTTTATTCACTACGCTTTTGTAAGAAGCACCCACTGTCACACTAGAATGCTTGGAGACCTCCTTCATATTAAGAGATATGCCCATTCTTTGCTCTTTTTCGTCCTAGCAAATTAATATGCAAATATCAATATGTTTCTGTCTGTAAGTATGAAGTAATAACTGAGGCCGACGAGTAATAACTGAGGGACAATTAGGTCAAGGAAGTGATTTTCCTTCTTACCAAACTCTATGGGTGTACTCCACTCTCCCCAGCTTGTGCTCACAAAACAACCATTGTCAGTTGCTCTAATTTTGACGCTGTACTTTTTTTGTGCACTGAAGCTCCCAAATATGTAAGAGTTTCCTGTGATGCTTCTTTCCTAAATACAAAACAACTAGACTGAGAAGTTTTTATTCACTAGATGTTAAGAATGCGTCAGGTTCATTTAATGTTGCAAACAATTACAAAAGAAAATTTTACTCATACTTCTGTGAACAGACTGCTGTGAAATAACAAATAGAAAATTATCCCTTAATAAATTAGCTTGTTCCGTCTTAACTCATTTTGTTTGAATTTTTTTTTTTTGGTGATGTGAAAATAAAATTTGCAGCATGCTTCCCTAGCTCCTTAGCCTCTGCTAAACAGTGGCACTTTGGAAAAAAAATAATTAATACTTTATTTTCCGTCTATAAATGTTTTATTCTACTAGAAGGTAATTCTTTAAAGATCTGGCATTCCCTTACCGTGGATGTTTTCAAAACTGAAGCAGAGTTTAACAGACAGATTATACAGAAGGGAAAAATTTGACATATATTAAAATCCTTCTCAGAAGAATATTGAGCCTTCTTGAAAACCTGATATTTTTTTCTTTCTTCTTTATACTGGCTTAATCTTTCAGATGATATTTTCTTTCCTCCTCCATCTCAACACCTTCCAGACACTATTAATAAAGAAAAATTTCTCCAAATTTAGTGTGTTTAAGTGTAATGTAGAATCATGATCCGTATTTACACATATATATGAATTTGGTAGGAAGTACAAGACAGTAAAATGGAAGCTTTTGTGACTTTTATAGAAGCAATATAAAGTTCCACATGTGCAGGTGGGTTTTGTACCATATTTTAAAAGTACCAGTTTAAAGCTTTGATTTTGGAAAACTTGCAAGTAAAACACATGCATAGTATACTGAAATTGATACTGTAAAAAGAAAAAAAAATGGTTAGAAGATGCTCTGATATAGGTCACATTTCAACCCACCATAAACATTTGATTAATACAGTAATAGAGACTTACTGTTTTAGATGTAGTTTTAATGTTTTCCTCAGGATCTACCTAGCAACAAGAGAAAATTTTAATTTTTATTGTTGCTATTTTTTACTACATAATAAGGGGTCTTGACTTATGAATGTTTGATTTACAAGAAAAAGGAGTACATTTAATATTTTAAATGCCTTTTTTCAAAGGCTATGAAGTTAAGCTGTTCTTCTAATACAAGTTTTTTCCTTACCACTAGTGCTCTGAAATACTGTACCCTTTAAATCTGATTGCAGAACTGATTATTAAAGAACTAAACAAAAAGAGGCACACTAATTAAAATTGTATGTTTTACCTGTACAAAACAACATATCTAAAAAAGTACTAGTAAACTGGGACAATGGTTTTTGCCATTAAAACTTTTGTCTGTGTAGCTTTTACATTCTTAACATTTAATTTAATTACATTATGTCTCCTTTATTAAGTTTTTTTACTGTTGGAACAATGAACTCACGAATATTTCTGTAAATGTTTCAAATTTTGTTTTTGGTGGGTATAATACTACTCTCTGTATTAATCCAAGTCTTCAGAATTCTTGCAATTACTGAAATATATAATAACAACCAAATGCAGTTAGGAGCTGTAAAACCTGCATATTCTGTTCCAATAACCTGGCAGAATATTTCTTTTTATTCAAAGAAGACATGGATGGCTCTTTCCACTTTAAGTTAAAAAGAAAGGGCTCTGAACTTAATAAAACCCCACAATGAACAGATGTTGTATTACTGTCCCTTTTATCTGGTTGTGACAGCTGCAGTGCAACCATCTTGATTGTGTATACTTTATTGTGTATACTTTATCTAAACCTAATCCACTAAACTCTTTCAGCAGCACCACACTGGTGTCAGTAAATAAAGGCAATAGGAGAAAGTGGCAAGGCTGGATACACAAAGAGGAGGACAGAAAGTACGGGGGTCCAGGTGGAGAACCCAATGACTCTTGTAGCACAACCTAACTTACAGGTGCCCCTTTGTAATAAAGCACGTGTTACTTCTTTGGACCTAGTTTACTAATACCATAAAACTGACTGAGCAGTAGTGATGACTACAAGAATTAGGCATAAATGCAAAGTGAGTTTGTGAAAGACACAATAAAAAGTGAAAAGTGACAGATGGGATAGGAGACTACAGAGACGGAAAACACAGAAAAGAAGGCCCTGACCTTACTTCATCATAAAACAGCAGTAGGACTGAAAGACTACACTAGGACTCAAATTGCCTTGCAAGGACAAATAAAATTAATTGTATCAAATTTAACAGTAGCTTTGGGGGTTTTTTTGTAGTGTATTTAGAGTTCATTTGATGTATCCTGTAAATGTTCATAATAAAGTCATCAGGTAATATTGTCCATCACACTATATATTCTAGAATAACTATTAACCCTCAGTGTGGGGCATCCCTTGCCCAGTTTCTTTAAGGACCAGCTGTACAGTGGACTGAAAACATTCTCTCAATTTGTTGCCCCTATTTGTGAATGACAGCAGTCCTCAACTCATGTTCAGGAGGGGTACTACAAATCAAAAAAGGAGAAGTTAATTAAGT